GCTTAGGCACAGGCTCAGGCTCAGGATCAGGTTTAGGCATAGCCTTAAGCTTAGGCATTGCCTTAAGCTTGGGCATAGCCTTAAGCTTAGGCATAGGCTCATTCTTAGGCGCAGGCTTAGGCTCATTCCCAGTTTAGGCATAGCCTTAAGTTTAGGCATAGGCTCATGTTTAAGCATAGCTTTAAGCTTAGGCATAGGCTCAGGCTCAAGCCCAGGTTTAGGGATAGCCCTAAGCCTAGGCATAGGCTCAGGCTCAGGCCCATGCTTTAGGCATAGCCTTAAGCTTAGGCACAGCTCAGGCTCAGGTTTAGGCACAGCCTCAAGCTTAGGCAAAGGCTCAGGCTCAGGCCCAGGTCTAGGGATAGCCCTAAGCCTAGGCATAGGCTCAGGTTCAGGCCCATGGTTTAGGCATAGCCTTAAGCTTGGGCATAGGCTCAAGCTCAGGCATAGGCTCTGGTTTAGGCATAGGCTCAGGCTTAAGCATGGGCTCAAGCTCAGGCCCAGGTTTAGGCATAGCCTTAAGCTTAGGCTTAGGCTCAGGCTCAGGCCCGGGTTTAGGCATAGCCTTAAGCCTAGGCATAGGCTCAGGCTCAGGTTTAGGCATAGCCTTAAGCCTAGGCATAGGCCCAGGCTCAGGCCCAGGATTAGGCACACCTTAAACTATGGCATAGGCTCAGGCTTAAGCCTAGGTTCAGGCTCATGCCCAGGTTTAGGCATAGCCTTATGCTTAGTCATCGGCTCAGGCTCAGGACCAGGTTTAGGCATAGCTCTAAGCTAGGCACAGGCCCGGGTTTAGGCATAGCCTTAAGCTTAGGCATAGGCTCAGCCTAGGCCTAGGCTCCGGCTCAGGCTCAGGATTAGGCACACCTTAAACTCTGGCATAGGCTCAGGTTTAAGCCTAGGCTCGAGCTCATGCCCAGGTTTAGGCATAGCCTTAAGCTTAGGCATAGACTCAGGATTACGCCTAGGCTCATGCTCAGGCCCAGGTTTAGGGATAGCCCTAAGCTCAGGCATAGGCTCAGGCTCAGGCTCAGGTTTAGGCTTAGCCTTAAGCTTAGGCATAGGCTCAGGCTCAGGTTTAGGCATAGCCTTAGGCTTAGGTATAGACTCAGGCTCAGGCCCAGGTTTGGGCATAGCCTTAACCTTAGGCATAGGCTTCGGCTTAGGCAAGGGATCAGGCTTATGCTAAGGTCTAGGGATAGCCCTAAGCTCAGGCATCTTCTCAGGCTCAGGCCCAGGTTTAGACATAGCTTTAAGCTTAGGCATAGGCTCAGGCCTAGGCCTAGGCTCCGGCTCAGCCCCAGGATTAGGCACACCTTAAGCTTAGGCATTGGCTCAGGCTCAGGCCCGAGTTTAGGCATAGCCTGAAGCTTAGGCATAAGCTCAGGCTCAGGCTCAGGTTTAGGCATAGCCTTAAGCTTAGGCACAGGCTCAGGCTCAGGTTCAGGCATAGCCCTAAGCTTAGGAAGTTTAGGCATAGCCTTAAGCCTAGGCATAGGCTCAGGCTCAGGTTTAGGCATAGCCTTAAACTATGGCATAGGCTCAGGCTTAAGCCTAGGTTCGGCTCATGCCCAGGTTTAGGCATAGCCTTATGCTTAGTCATCGGCTCAGGCTCAGGACCAGGTTTAGGCATAGCTCTAAGCTAGGCACAGGCCCGGGTTTAGGCATAGCCTTAAGCTTAGGCATAGGCTCAGCCTAGGCCTAGGCTCCGGCTCAGGCTCAGGATTAGGCACACCTTAAACTCTGGCATAGGCTCAGGTTTAAGCCTAGGCT